GTGACAATGGGTGCATGTTAGCAATATTGGCGATGATGGTAGATGTCGTTAGTGGTGGTGGGTTTCAACATTACGGGTAAAGATTGACATAAGCATTATTGGTGATGTAGGGTTGTGTTGTTTTTGGTGACTATGTCCATCATCATTGGTTGTGATGACGAGTGTTTCCCTTGGTGATAATGATGAACATTGACATTATTACCAATGTGGGTCATCATTCTTGATAGTCATATCGGACAAAAACCATAGTGGGAATGATAAGCATTAACATTATTAGTGATGGGTGGTGTCAACTTTGGTAGCGATGAGGGGCACCATTGTTAACGGTTGTTATGCTTGAAGATCAAATTTGGAAGAATTGTTTATTTTAATTACTTAAATAGTCTACAAAAACTTCTATGAATTCATTAATATAAATCACTCTAGGGAAAGCATCTAAAATCATTATATTTCTTTAATACATTTAATCAGTTATGGATGTTAAATTAATCTAGTTCTAAATGACTATTGGTTGTTATTGAGAAATAAGAAAGATGTAAATAAATGAAAAGAGATCAAGAAAGGAAAAAAAATTCTTCCACTTTAGACCTCGGGGCATGACAATTGCGATTGTGGCTGTTAATTTTGATGGCAATGACAAGGGTTGATGATGGTCAATGACAAACATTGACTTTGTTAAACATGCCATACATTAACCTTATTTGCAATTGTGGGCATCAACATTTTTTTGTGGTTGATGGGAATTTATACTATTTAAGATAATATTCATCATATATGGTGGCAAAAATGAGTATTAATGTTATTGGCAATGGTGATAATTAATTTTTTTGGCGAAGATATGCCTCAACCTTATTGGAGATAATAAGAAGCTAACATTTTAAAGACGACGATGATCGATATTATTGTTAATGTTGACATTAATATTGCTGACGATAGTGAGAGCTAATGTTTTTAGGTTTGACAAACATTGACGTTTGTGGAAACAACAAGGATCAGTGTTGTTACATATGGTGAGGGCATGTCATTAGTGACGATGGTTGACATCAAACTTATTGGCAATAACGAGCACCCATCATAATTATTGTTGATAATGGTGGCTATTATTATTGTTGGAAACATATCAATTTGTCATGACAATGGATGCCAATATTATTAGTGATGGTAGGGATAAAACATTGGTGGCGATAGAATACATTAGTGGTGATGACACACATTAGTGTTGGTGGCCATGATTGATTTTGATTGTTATCGACAATTAACATCAGACGCAAAAAAGACAAAGAACTATATTAGTATGATATCTGAAATCCTTCTTAGGACCTCCTTCTATCATCAATGATTGTTTAGATGCATGATATATTCCTAGATTTCTAAAGGATAATCAAATTATTAAGATTAAAAAACAAAACACTTCATCATATAGTCTGTGTTGATCCTTATAGTTTTTTTTAGATGTTTTAATGCTTTAATAATTTCTAAATTGAATGATATTAGGCTTGTTGGATTTTTCTTGTCAAAGCCACTCATTTTGGATGTAAGTACAAAAGATTAAGATAATGTTTGATTGCTTAAATGATTTCGTAAAAATTTTAACTAGGTTTCTATGCTCTTGATTTAGGTCCATTTAGACTCAAATCAAAATGTTTATTCTATTATCGCTATTCTTTTATCGAGACTTTTTTTCTAATTATAAATTTAATAAAAATGAAGATTTAAGGATCCTAAAATCAATTTTGAATATTTCTGACTTGCATATTTCAACATTTTGAGATTTAAAAATTGCAATAAGATTCATGCTCAATTGAACGAATTTTCTAGAGACATATCGGTTGCCGTTTATTTTTAAATAACAAAACCTATAAGTCCAAAATTAAATAGTCTTTAAATTTTTTTAACATGAAATCATTATCTACGGAAAAAAAGTCCAAACACAACCTCTATGTCAACATTGACCTTCTTTCAAGATCATGAATCAAGTAATTTCCTCCTTGATAAAAATTTTTTCCTTCTATAAAGTTGGCATATTGCTCGAGATAGAAATCTATTAAAAATTTAGTTTATAGATTTTTAAAATTGCTCAAAATTAACTTTATAAGGTTTAGGGTTCAAAAGTGCCAAATTGTGCCAAAAAAAACACAAAAAAAAAAAATTGTGCCAAAAAAAAAAAAAAAAAAAAAAAAAAAAATTATTGGGCCTAACATTGCTAAAAAGGCCTATGATTACACAAAACAAGGTTTGTAGGTGTGTATGTGGGTTAGGCAACTAACCAATTGCTTGCTATGCTAATGACAACATAAGCCGCATGCAAACCTTCAAAATCTGGATAATATTTTCACCCTTTTTAATACATTATTTTTAGTTTTTCTTTTATTTTAAAAATGATTAAAAAAAACCGACTTTAAATTTCAGGAGGTTTCTCCTTCTCCGCTTAAATCTATAAAATCTCTTGAAAGATCGAGTCTCAAGAAAAGTTGAAATTTTTCCTTTTCTTCTTGAGAGATTATTACGTGCGGTAACCAGATAGTCCGGAGGTCAATCAAGATATGCTACGTCACCCAATACACAGCGGTACACAATAATGATGCACAATGTATTGGTGACGTGCCATGTTTTGATTGACCTCCGGGCGACGTTAAGTGACCGGATATAGTAATTTCGATTCTTCTTAAGGCATGATTGAAGGGCAGCAAAAAATGATTGGTTGATTTAGATTTGAGGAGAAAATTTTCTGGTTTAGAATCTCTACATAATGGCTCTAACTTTCTCTTAAAATGAGAATGATTCTCTCACTCGACCCTAGTTTTTTTTTCTTATATATTAGCTGTTGATAATTGACAAAGAAACGGCCACATTTCTTAGCAGACCACAAAGGAGCTTCTATCATAAAAGGCATATACTTGACTTTCAATTTCTTTAATTCGAACAATATTTCGCTAGAGAATAATATTCAAAGATATACTTAAATCTATTATTATTTGTCAAATTATTCATTTAAATCTATTATATAATCACTTAATGACATTATCATTTAAATTATTATTACAAAAAATAATTATTTATTAATTTCAATATTTGTTAATTACCATCATCATTGAATCTTTTTTCTGCCAGTCTAAATTATTGTCTCATTCTAAAAATTTTATAGTATCATAATAAATTTTTTTTTTTTTGAAAATTTAAGGACAAGAGCTCATTTCATTCACTATAAATGAATGTTTCAAGCAAAAAGACACCAAAAATATAATAGCAGCAGAGAGAACTGCATAAAAGGAAGATCGCTAGCCCCATGCATGAATGAGAGCCAAAATGATTAAAAAAAAAAAATTTAAACATTCAGACAAAAGAAGCAAATGAAATATGTTCACCGTGCAGGACTTATGCTTCATTTGGGACGACTTTCTTATCACTTCTTAAAACAGTTTTATAGTACAAAAGTTTTAATTTTTATACTAAAAAGCTGATTCAGGATGTAGTAAAAAAGCCGTCACAAATGAAGCCTCAGAAAGCACAATGCAGAAAACAACCGAGTCAAAAATTGATTGAATTATCTGGTTGCCACACCGACCATCGAAGGAGAGGGAATGAAAATGACCTATGGTTGCCAAGCCAGCCTTCCATCGGAGCCTCAAGTGTACGAAATTCTCACATTCTTCTGAGAAAAAAATCATCATTTGAAATAAAAAGAGAACAATAAGTAACAAAAAGATCTCAGAAGTCAGCATATAAGATGTTTAATATCATCATAATTCTTCCATTTCAACATTTGAGGTGTAAAACTTTCTTGATGGCTTGAGTAACTGAAGAGAGGCGATTAAAATTTGCAGAAATTCTCTCATTTCTTTCTTATCAAATGTGGTAAATAGAACAACATATGATTAAACGGTGCACTTATTTATAAGCATGATTGGGATGTTATAAACCCAAAATAAAGTCAGATAGTTAGAGCAAATTGGGCCTTAAAAAGCAGGTAACTGATGCCTAAAGAAAAATCGCATTCAAAAAATAAATGAGAATGAGTTTTAGGAGATTGAAAACACAAATTGCATAATCTTGGAACCAAAATACTTAGTTGATGAATCTTAAACAAATCCTTGATGAAAGCCTTAAATGGGAACTTTTATTAGGTCCTCTGACCGGATGTAGCTCTACGTTCGGTCAACACTGAGTTACTCGGTTTTTGCTCAATATTTGCTCGGTATTGCTTTGCAATAACGAGAAATACTGCTCTGTGAAGACCAATACCGAGTAATCCCAAAAAATACCGAGTTTTTCTAGGAAAAACTCGATATTTTTTGTCATTACTCGGTATTTTGTCTTCACATAATGATATTTCTCGTTATTGTTGGTATTGCTCTTTATTTGCTCGATATTTCTTGTTTTGTGCCTGCTACGTGGCGCGATCTCAGTACCGGCCGAACGTAGCTCTACGTATGTTCACCGGACCAAATAAAAGTTCCTTAAATGGAGGATTATCCACCCCATATCAGAACATTAGAAGAGAGGGGAGCAGCCGTGAATTGCAAAAGAGCTAATCAATAAAAATAATTTCATAGCAAAATTTATTGTACTCCTAATATAGTAACAACAGGTACAAACCCTAAAAATAACGTCAGGCGCTCGACACGTGACCGGCACCAGCACATTCATAACGAGGAGAAACAAACGGAGTTACGGCCTCATGATGAAAAAAAAGTTCTCAAACGACCCAATCTCGCACCCACAACCCCACCCACACCGTCATTGCTTGAACCCAATTTGTCGCTCGTCAAATGGGTGCAGCCATGTTAAAAAAAAAAAAAAAAAATCTCTCCGACCACCAAACCGCCGATTACCCATCGCGCCTCGCTTACGTGTGTGCCAGCCGAGCACGTCATATAAAGCCCCGACGCGCGCTATCCCAATTTTAATGTTATTCCCAAAATACCCATGACCCTGCCCACCAACAAGAAATATATATATATTCATTATTAATCCTTAAAATTTATAATAGACAAGAATTCCTCGCGCATTCGGTTTCGCCGCCGACTACTCAAAACCCCAGCGGTGGTTGCCGCCGTCAGCGATCACTTGCCACCGACAAAGCCGTGTGATTCAGATCGCTTATCCTCCTTTCCCCTTCGCATGGTTGGTTAGTTCTCGACGGTCTCGGCATGGCGGCTGCCGCGCCTCAGCGAGGGAAGTCCCAATCTAACCTTCTGCATCGCGATTTCTCCTCGCCGGTTCTGAAGTCTTGGGGAAGCCAGAGGCATATACGGTACGACGGCGTAGATGGGAGCGGAGAGGGAGTAGCCGGAGAGCATAGATCGGCGTTGCCGTCGCCGGCGAGGGATTGCTCCCGGCGATTCTCAAGGATAGGGGCTCCGAAGATTGGCTACATCGACGAGGATGGTGGGTTGGCGGAGTTCCGGGAGAAGCTCATGGGGCATCTTCGGGAGGCCGCCGACAAAATGAAACTCGATGTTCCTACCATTAAACCGGCGTCCTCCATCGCCGTGACGGAGCCGGAGATCATACCGTCCTCCTCCGCTGCTGAGACGTCGATCCCGTGGAATCTCAGGAAGAGGAGGGCTCCGCCGGCGAAGGCTGCGGACAGGAACGTCCGACTGAGGTCGGAGGTTGAGGAGAAGAAGGAACCAAAGAAGTTCTCCATCTCGCTCTCCAAGGAAGAGATTGAGGAGGACATCTTTGCCCTAACGGGATCTCGTCCTCGCCGCCGGCCAAAGAAACGGCCGAGGAATGTCCAGCGGGTGCTCGACGTAAGACCGATAACCGTGATCTCTTTCCCCTCTTTCTCTCACCTCTTCTCTTAACTCCTACGGTTTCTCTTCTTCCTGCAGGCCCTCTTCCCGGGGTTGTCTCTGTCGGATATCAGTATCACACCGGAGTTGTACAGGGTCCCGGAATAATCCTTCGCCGGCGAGGTTATCCTCACCATCCGGTGACCGTATCACACACCCCTCTTTTTACAAATCCTATTATTTATATACAGCAATTAGGATTGTTTCAGAACTATTCTTCCATGTAGAAGATAACAGTCCTTCTGTATCGTTTGCATTTGAATTTCTCCATATGCGTTATGAACTACCTTTTTATAAAAAAAAAAAGGAAAAATCGCTTCTTTTTATATTTATTTGGATGGATTATTTTGCTGTAAGCTTGAAATTCAGCGAAGGGGATTTGAAAGTAGTTCTTAAGCGTGTGTTAGCAGGTCACCATCGTGTTTGAAGTTTGTTTCTCTTCGCGATTTGCGATCCTTCCGAATTGGAAAGGAAGCTCACAATCTCCGCTAACCTGTAATACGAAGCTCTAAACTAATTACAGAATTACCTTATTAAGTCTGACTGTTTATTTGCTATTTTGCTTATTATAATGTTTAGATTGAATAATTTTTTGAAGTAAATGAAGCAGTAAATTAATAATGTAAATTTTAAATTTATCTTGTAAAATTCTAGTTTTATTTTAAAAATTTTTAATTTATTTTGAGATGGATTTAATATATAAATAATTAGTCAATTTTTATTTATATAAAGTATTATTTAAAAATGACTTTAAAAATTATTCCTATGTCAACAAAATTTATATATTATTTGCACATGCAATGAGAAAAAAAGTAGTTTGTATGTGCCAAGATTAAATTATTAATAGAAGTAGTTGAATGCTAATTTTATAAATAACAAAGATTTTGAAGTTAAAGAAGAAATTGCTTCAATAGAATTTTATCTTAGTTGCAGTAAATTTTGTTGGAATCAATTACTCCCAATTAACAACAAAAGAAAATGAAAGGTTTTTTTTTTTAACTTAAAAAAAAATGAAAGGTTTTTATCCATATGGATGATCAAATGGAGTTTAGTTTAATCAGCAAACGATCTAAATTCAATTACTATTTTTTCAACTTATTAGCTAAATAAATAAAGCAGGAATTAAAAAAAAATAAAAAAAAATAAAGCAGGAATTTGAATCAAATGCATTATATATAAATGAGGTCCTATTTATAGCCTTTTCGAGATGATAATTTGATGAATTTGACCAAAATTTATAGTCCATATTGATCTACTTAATTGTTCATCATTTATTAAATATTTGAATGTCTTAACAATCTCAAAATTGAGTGATCCTGAGCTTGTTTGATTTGTCTCATCAAGTTGATCGATTTTAGTAAAAGTATATCATAATTGAAAGTCATTTGATCCGTCAATTTATGTTTAACAAATTATAAATATAATTTACGTGCTTTATTTGAGCTCATTTGAATCATTTGTAGCGTCGATTTGTTTGTCACGTCGAGACATTTAGTTTGGCTATCAATTTGCTAAAATCAAAATTTGGATGATCCTAAATTTAATTCTAAAAATTTTCAACTCAAATATTTTACCTCAAGAATCATGCCAAACATATATATATATTTTTTGGAATTGTATTAATCATTAATATTTATATTCCTAACATATAAATTTTAATATTTATTTGTATTACACTCAAATTCTTAAACCATATAAAAATTTCAATAATAATATTTTTATGCATATATAAATAAATATTATAATTGATAATAATAATATATTCATAAAAAAAACATTTATTTAATTGATTTTATCATCTTGACATGTTGTTTGTGTTCTACTTATATCTGACTCTCCCTCACAAATAAATAGAATATAATTAGAATATTGTACCTTCATTAATGAAAATGAGCTATTTCCTGTACAATTGGGACGTGAAAGTAGTCGAGCCAATTAAAGCTGGCTCGAACGGCTTACTTGTCCATTTGAAGCAACATACAGATTGAAGGAGAAATGGTACCTTTGTAGATAATCATTTCTCTTTCGAAAGCGTGTAGTTTCTTATAACTCATCAAGTACGAGCAGAGCTTTTGTTTTTGAAAATAATATATTTTATTATATTTTTAATATTTCAAATTATTAGATAATTCAACTAATTATTATAAATCAACATTATTTTTTTTAATTTTAATATATATATTATAAAATATACAAGACTTTAAGGTTTCGAAATCTAAAGAATTTTATAATTTGGAGATTGACACCGAGGATCATCGATAACAATTATCGTAACCCAATCATAGTCTTTTGACCACCAACGACTTACCAAAATCACTTATCCACTATCTCTCATCTATCATCTGTTAACTACCATAGCTCAACTACCTATGCTTGTCATCTTCATCATTGACTGTCGCCATAACATTAATAAATGTCATCGCATATAAGGTTGATACACACTATCGATATAAATATTGATGTTTGTTGGCTTTAGTGTCTGCCATGCCATCAACGTCCAATGCACGCCTTCGCCAAGAAGATCGATGCTCTCATCGACACAAGATACTCATGCCTCACAACTTCATTGCTCGTTATTGTCAACAATGTTAATGCACACCAATCATTCATAAAGGTGCACGCCATCGACACCAAATGCCAATACCCGATGACTTTGTCATCTACAGTAGTAACAATACCAACTCATACCATTTCCTATAAGAATGATACATGTCGTCAACATAATAACCCACGCTCGTGATTTCTGTCACCAGTTGTTGCCAACAATGTCAATTATGTCATTTCTTATGCTGACGATGCACGCCTTCAAACAAGTGTCGAGCCATCAACTTTATCTCCAACAGTCATTAATAATGTCAAGGGCATATCATCGACACCATATGCATACTCGATGACTTTATCATTACTGTAACAACAAAGCCAACCTCATACCATATCCTATAAGAATAATGCAGAGCTGTCAACACAATACCCACGCTCATGAACTTCATCTCCTTTTGTTAATTACCATTAATGTCAATTATAATCATTTCTATAAGATTGATGCATGCCACAACAGAATGTTCAATACCCATCGACTTAATCTTCTGTATGCAATCACTAATAATGTAAGGCATAACATTACATATACGACACGCACGACATAGACACAAACACCTATGCTCGCCAAACACATCACTCACTATCACCAAACAATAGCAATGCATGTTAATACTAATAAGGCGATGTATGCGTGGACACCAAAGCCATGCCACATACTCTTATCGCCCATCATCGTCAATAATGCCGATGCAAGACATTGCATGTAAAGTCAATACATGTTCATGCACTAACGCTAAAATTCTAATGTCACACACTTAAGATTTATACTGATTTCTTGACTTTTGTTCAAATAATTTCACAAAGACTACAATATCTTAACCCTTTTAGCTTACACAATGAAGCTCATATATATGGTCCATACCTACATTATATCAAGAGAAGGCACATTATTTGTATATATATATATTATTGCTATCCTTATATAAAATTATAAACAGGTATATCCTTGGATAAGTTTTTTATTTTGCTTTTATGCATCATGGACTTCAATGCTTCAATTAACCTTTTTTAGATAAATTGTATTTAAATTGCCTTAATAAAATAATAAAATAAAATCAGAGTTTGTTCTATAATAAGTTATTTTTATATTTAAATGTTTTGTAAATTAACTTGGAAAACGAAAATATTCTATAAAAATAAAAATATGCAACACGGGCAACTAATTTATTTTTTTAAAAAAAATCAACTTTGTCAACTTCTGTTCTGTCACTCAATGAACAACACCTATTTAATATTTTTGATAAATTTTGACGTTTTTTTTGTTTTGTGCTTGAATAAATTTTCCAGTTATAATTGAAAATTTTATTAATTATAATATTTTTCGTTAATTTTCCCCTTTTTATCAATATATTTCAGCAAAAAATAACTATCTAAATTTTTTAAAATAAATTTAAAAATAATTATTATATAATATAACAATAATAAAACAAAAAATATTTATGTTTAATAAATATAATAAATATCATAAAAAAATTCATACATGTCAAAATTTCAAACCATCATACCTAATTCTTTTTCTCTAACGCCTATGATCGATTAATAATTAATTAAATATTGTATGGTAGTTGCAAATAAATTTGTACAAATGATGACTTCTTAATTTACCTTGTCAGTTTAAGGGGGATAAATTATAGATATTGGAAATTAGTGATAATTTTTTTAATATTTTATAATATGGTTATGATATTGATTTATAATAGTCATTATGGAACTTCAATTTAAAAATCATTCGCAAAAGTAGATTATTTAAGGAGGAAATATTTTGATATCTAGATTGTAGTATTGTGAATAATGTTAGTAAAAAATGGCAACATAATTTCGACGGAAAATATCGCTAAAATTTTTTAATAGAATTTGCGGCGGGATTTTCTCTGCAAATCATCGCCACTCCGCCGCAAATCCGTCGCAAACTATCATATCTAATTGATTGTTTGCGCATCCGTTCCATTTGCTTGTTCGTTCCGTTCGACTTCACTAGTTCTATTCTTCGACATTGCAAATTGTTGCCATGCCGCCGCTTTCTAGGGTTGCATCTCCTCTTTCCTGGCTCTTTATTGCTATTCGACTTGTCGTGTGAGAGATCGTTTTGAATGAGGCACTAAATTACTTCTTCGCCTCCTTCGACGACGTTCCATCTTGTCGCATCCGAAGTCACACCTCGCCGTTCTTCTGTCGAATCCGAAGTCACACCTCCTTCACCTCCTACAGGAGCTTGTTCGTTGCCAAGGTATCGATCTTTCTTCCTTTTGTGTGCTTCTTCATCCAAATCATATAAATCCGCCGAACTCCCTTATTTATCTAAATCCACAATTTACAGCAAGAATGAGGGAAACATAGGATTTAGCTCGATTTTCAAATCCTTTTAAAACTTCATACATTTGAGAATCAAAATCTTCTCATGCAATCATAGTTATTATTCACACAATATTAATTTATCCCATATATTACCAGAAAATTTTAAAAATTAAGAAAAATCATGCATGCCACTAGTTTTAACAATGATAAAGCGAATGAAAGATTTTGTAATTGTCTGTGAGATATAAGCTCTTATCATCAACACCTTTGTTTGATTAAAGTTCAACATTATTTTAACAAACAAAATGTAGTATTAGAAATTAAAAATATATACTTTAATTCCTAATCATTTTGAAAAAAAAAAAATCATATGTAACTATGAACAAATCAACCCAATTCTCATTTATCTGTTGGTTGGTAACTTTGCCTATAATGA